CCGTAACCGCATGGTTGGAGACACTGAAGGTCATGACTGAGAATCGACAACAATCTTGCTGTCACTTCCTATCCGACCAGAATGCTTGAAATAGTTGGACTGTGTACTCAGTGTGTTGACCATAGAGGTTCACTTTCACACACACACACACACACACACACACACACACACACACACCGTCCACATAGGTCCAATCCCTATCCTCCCTACACATTCTCACATCCCTTGTATGCAACATGAGTTCGTCAGCGGTCAGCGAAGTTCTCTTCACTGCATTATGCTATACAATGATGATGAGTGAAATAATTGGATAATCCAGGTCGTATGTGTGTTTCGTTATTACATAACAGGCATGATATTCTGTGTATTTTTGGTGAATCCGCTATACGGTTTCATAACGATACGAACAATCCTAGTAATATATGATCTGATTTGATGTGTTGCGGTGTGATTTGATGTGATTTCTTCTCCATAGATAACTTTGTTTCTAAGTAGTGTTATGTTTCGCCAGTCTGTTGTTGTTCTGTTTGAAATTTGCTCTATGGAAATATTCAGACCACAGTGAGTATCGCATCATTACAAAAAGGAATACAACCAGATTAAAGAAGACTGTTTCACACTGTCACGGTTCTCGGAACAAAAGAGAATTCGAACACCACCACGACTATCACCACCGTTTGATAGGTTTTTACAGTCACCTAACGTCATACTTGTGACCGGTTTTTTCCAGCAACTGAGTGTGGAGGAGTGACCAAATCGACAAACTCCGCATATCCAAATCCTTTGTAATCAATGAGGCAATTTAGTAGCGATGTTCAAGTGGTCCATGAATGGATTTGTGCGTGGTGCGACTCGACGACAAGCTAAATGCATTACACTAAAGTGCAAAAGAAGAGATTGCACCGCCCCACTGACATGGTTGCATCTTTCCTAATCTGACGTATGATGGGTCATTTTAGGGACTAAAGGTGGACAGAGCGTGAAAAACACGTAACCCCGAAGACAGGCCTTTCTTCTTGAATTCAGTAAAATAAAAAAGAAACGAAATAGGGCCTTTTCTGGGGGAACTGAGCGCTCGAAGATCATTGGCTCTGATCTCATGCAGACAGTTTTAGCCGTTATTCAGGCCTAGTTACTGTCTTGTCTATATTGATATATGGGGTGTACAAGGTTGAATGCTATGCCCCCTTCTCACCGCGTCGAGCAACGATGAACTCATTCTAATCTCTACCCGCACCCTATCTGCGAGTTAGATTGAATGTATCCAGTGGTTGTTTTGTGGCCCATTGCTTTTCACAACTCTCGTCATGTCATTTGTTGTTTCGTTGTGAAGGAAAGATTCGTTTCGAACGATGCGAAATCTATCATACAAGCATGACAGTGACAGTGATTTTTGCAACCGGCCAGTTTCCGAAGGTGTAGTCGTTGAAATTTTTTTGGTTGATCCGTTCACCCTGTATGAGCATAGTGTGCAGCGGAGGGAGTCCAGACATATATTGGAAAAACAATGAATCGACAATGCTAATAACAATACTACTACTACTATCACTGTTGTGAGTAGCTCTCAAAAAGATGCGATTGGTGGTTTCTTTAGTCGGTTAAAATAAATAGGATGTGTGAGTGTGAGTTGCTGCTGCTCAGTATGGTAAATACAAGAATGTGCATCTACTCTTGGATCGTTACATTATCTATCCTGTGTGAGGGAATTCCGAAGGCTCGTTCCAAATGAGCCATTGTGTTGTGTGAATGCCAATTTATCGGTGCTCTGACTGTTATTCATAATAACCATTTAACCTTGAGCAGGCACCGCCTTGTGGAATTATAACACTACTAGTACTAATACTACTGTTATAATAATAAAGATATCTGCATTTCCAAAGATATCAATATCCTAAATTGGGAATAATACAGTCAACTGCGTCACTCAATAGTTCGGGTTTACTTCCAGGTGCTGTCTTGTCACCCTATGTTTTTTCGACTTATATCAGTGAACCCTTGTACGACATTTATGTATACTGATGATGTCAATATTTCTGTTTCCATACTTAACCAATGAAAACTGGCTACATGTAACATAAACTTATCCCACCTCATCAAATATTCCGCTTTATCCTAGCTTAGTCTTAATCCCTATTAATGGCTTGAATGATTTTTTACCTTAAACCATTCTCCATCTCCCTCCAATAATAATGTACAGATTCAGGGGAAGCCGATGAGCAGAGTCGGCTATGTGAATTACTTAGGTGTCACATTTGAAAGTAACCTTCGCTAGTCTTTGCATAATTAAACTATTGCTCCCATGCACAAAGTTATCTTCGTTCAGGTAAGAAGACTGCTCCACTTCTGTTCTGATTTGTCGGTGATAGGAGCTTTGGTTCAACAATGTGTTCTGTCTATACCTCCTACACTGCTCTCCTGTGATTTGTCCGGGTCTACTGAAGACCGATTTGCTGCTTCTGGTACGCGAATTCTCACTGACCAACTGTGTTTCCCAATTTTCTTTGTTCGTTCTGATTGGCAATAATTGTGATGCTCGTGCTTAAAGTTTGCTGACAATATTCTATCTGATTGAACCCATCCTTTCCATACTGATCTGTGTGTACGCAAATCCAACTCCCACCCTCACCCGCTCCAAATACAAACTGATCCCATTACGGATATCTGTCTACAAAAACTCTTTGATATCCTATCTTGCCCGGACACTGACCGACAAGGAGAGTGTTCTTTCTGAACTTTCTACATGCATGCATTTGATAGATAATTCACATTTGTGCACGCTTGATGTCCCATTTTCCCACCTCTTTTTACCAGTATTGAGATGATGGTCTCTTTTTGGGTTAACGGCTTGTATATAACTGGTTAAGGTTTTAATACAATACAATACTATACTATACAATGTAATACAATACAATAACTTTACAGATGTGAGATTGTGAATGTCTTTCATTTTTTACCTAATACATACACAGTAGCACTGACAATTTTAAGGAAAGTATCTGTGGCTGGTAAAAGGGGTCCTAATGATTAAATTCTTTGATATATTTGCGTTCAATATGTAAATTTATGGGTTCGATCCTGAGTTGGGTCGAGCCAATAGCACTGATAATGATGCCCAAAAAGTGTGTTCAAAACCGCTTCCTAAATTGATACCTGGTTTGTCTTACCTACATTGTGAAACTTCACGGCAACAGATATTTCGTGTGCATTTCCGGGCCTAGTAGCGCAATGTGCTGTAATGTCCTTCACATCTGCAGAGAACAAAAATAGGAAATAAAATTGCTTCTAATCACGAGAACAGAAAAAAACATTGTGAATAAATGCAACCTATTGCCTTTACACCAATACGTTTTAACTGCTGAACACATTCATCATCTGGGATTAACCAATCCCTATTTTAAATCCTCTGTNCGATTACGCAGGTTCGCGAATTGATCCTACCCTGGCCCGGTTACCCGGAACCCGTGTCGGCGGCCAATGGAAAAACCGATTCAGAGATCAAGACCTCGGACAGCACACAACCGCGACGCAGATCATACGCCGGTAGACGACGTGCTCTGGCCGATTTAGGNNTCGCAGATCGGGACCGGGACACGACACGATTGCCCTGTCTATTCAAAATTGACGACAATAGTCCGGCAAAACGGGCCGGACTGCGGCGAGGTCAATTGCTCCTGCGCATTGGCACTCACGAGATTGCTGACTTGTTTCGCGCTGCCCTGTGTGCTTCCTCCAACGCGGTGAAGTGTGAAACTGGTGCCCTCCTGTCTACCCCGTTCACTCTGGCCTGTCCCAGTGTGCACCCGGAAGCACATTTGGCTGCCGATTTGCTCAACCTGATTCGACAACTCCGATTTGCGCATGACATTGTGTTTGCTGTCGGTGGTCTGATTGACACGGATCAGAAAGGTGTCAGACGACGCACCAGTCAGACTCCTGCTGTTTCATCCAGTCCCCTGAACAACCGTATCAGTTTTCCGTATCTACGAAAACCCATCACTCCGGGCAGAACTGCTGCGACGGAACCACGATCTCCGTCCGATCTCCGTCGTGATTCACATTACATGGAAAATGCGAACGGAACTACGGTAAACCAGTCTATCAATGGAAACACGGCAATTGTCCACACTCCTAGACGTCTACCAATCAGTGCAGGAAACAACAAGGGAGCAGAAATCAGGTGAGTGAACAGTGTCTGCATTGAACTTGCACGCGAAAACTGCTTCTTCTATTGATGTTTTTTTCATGAGTTCCCTAGTAGTATTAGTATTAGGAGGAGGAAGGTACATGGTGGTGGTGGTGATGATGATGATTGCAATCATTTTCAAGGACTGCCGATGAAACGTATTGCTTTCAACTAACTCACTCTGCGATCGCTTTGTTTAGTTCCCGTGATACAGGTCCATCGCTTTGGACGGATCAGCTTAGGCCACGTCCAAATATTATGACATCACAAGGCATAGTCACCATGGAAGACAACAACAGCAACAACAATCACCACGTGAGGACAACATCGTCATGGTCTAAGCGAACAGCTCCTCGGTTAGGCTACACGCATGCGGAACAATCGTCGTTTGCTGCCTCTTCATCTCAACGCTTCCATTCTGATTCAACCGGGGATACAATGCAACCGATCAGGTGGTCTTTCGGTGCCCGATCCATCTCCGGGGATTGGACTGAGGTAGTTGAACCGGCCGAACCCGATCCAGACGGTCCCCTTGTGCGGTCCGGAAAAGGTAGACATACGGACGGGAATTTGAACAAACAATCCGTAGACGGTGAACGGGTGAGAATTGACTTTCTAGTGTTTTAAGCATTGATTATTCCTCTATGAATAACCTCTGAGTAAAATAGATATTGCTTTGTATAGCCAAAGACAAATTTCGGCAAGACGTAACCGGTCAATAACATGTGGTACCTATCATACGGTGGTGAGGTTTGAACGCACAAACATATGAGGCGATATAATGACGACCAACACGGCTTACCCACTGCCTCAGAAACTTAATCATAATCATTGTATTCCTCAATCTAGTTGAGTTATTCACGTGCTGTCCGATCAATAACTTTCGACTGGAAATGAGTGCAGTCAGTGTAGTGCTAGTCAAATAAACTGATTTGACACCGATCACAATGGAGAAAAGAATCAACTACTGTTTTGTCGGATTTGGGTTACGCATCGGAGATATAAGTCATGGATGGAACTAGTGGTTTTTTCCCAATATGCGATGTTGTGTGTATGTGTGTAATGATCACCGCTGGACATTCGCGACAAAATAGATCCCAGGAAAATAGCACTTTTAATCAATCTGTGGACAAACACGCACAGCACCTGACTTGACCTCAATTCGGTCATCTACCAACCAACCAACCAACCAATCATCACACAGACAGTGAGCATCTCTTTCGCGGGCGCGCTGTCGTGACTAATCGGCTTCGGTTTGAACATGCGTAATAATCCACAAGCACATGGCAATTGTGCAGTAGATCACTCTGAGGGGAAGATCTGATTTATCCACTAGACTCACCTGACTCGGGTCAGGTTGCCGTGATCGATCGAAGTTGACTCAGCCCAATACGGGTTAAACCCGTCCTCGAGCAGTTCAGTTCAGTTCAGTTGTTACAATCATTAACCATGCA